AAAAAAAAAAAAAATCATTCTCAGTCCCTTAAAATGACCCCTATGATTCTTCACTATACTATCTGCCTTTAAAAATAGTCTAGGCCAGGTGGGCATTGTGACAGGCGCCTGTAGTCCCAGCTACTCGGGAGGCTGAGGCAAGAGAATTGCTTACACCCAGGGGTTGGAGGTTGCTTGAACTGTGTGATGCCATGGCACTCTATCAAGGGCAACAAAGTGAGACTCTGTCTCCACCAAAAAAAAAAATAGTCCAGGCCTTGTGAAGTGGCTAATACCTGTAATCCTACCACTCTGGGAAGCTGAGGCAGGTAGATTGCTTGAGCTCATGAGTTTGAGACCAGCCAGAGCAAAAGCAAGACCACCATTCTCTACTAAAAATAGAAAAACTGAGGCAAGAGGATCGCTTGAGCCTGAGAGTTGGAGGTTGCTATGAGCTATGACACACGGCACTCTACCCAGGGCGACAGCTTGAAACTCTGTCTCAAAAAAAGAAAAATAGTCCAGTATATAAGAGAAAAATGGATAGTTTTTACAATTCCTTTAAGAGAAGTCACCAAACCCTAGTCCTTTGTCATAGTTCACTCCACAAAAACCCCTAATCTGTGGCAAACCTCCATATCAACTACTCTGAGGCCAGATCTCTAGTTCTGTTTTTGTGCAGTTGATATTTTTCTTTTCTTTCTTTCTTTTTTTTGAGACAGAGTCTCACTATATCATCCTCAGTAGAGTGCTATGGTATCACAGCTCGCAGCAACCTCAAACTCTAGGGCTTAAGCGATTCTCTCGCCTCAGCCTCCCAAGTAGCCGGAACGATAGGTGTCCACCACAACACCTGGCTATTTTTTGGTTGCAGTTGTCATTGTTGTTTAGCAGGCAGGGGCTGAGCTCAAACCTGCCAGCGTTGGTGTATATGGCTGGCGCCCTACTCACTGAGGGATGAAAACTTATATTTTTCATCCAAGAATAAATATGTGGACTTATGAAATTTCAAATTAATTTTGGTCCTTTCTTCTAGTCTATAAGAGTTTTCAATATATTATTCAGTATATAAGTTCTCCCTCCTAGCTTTCCCATGAATGTAATGAATATCCCGTTTATATCTTCTTTTGCACTAGTGAGAATATCTAAAGGCAACGACCATGGACCAAATTATGTTACAAGGCATCAGAAATCTTTCCCTAGCTGAACACCCCCTAAAGTATCTGGACTCTTTGGGTACTGCCATTCAACCAATTTTAGGGAGCCATCTGACTATAACCATCATTTATACTATTCCATTTCGGTTGACCACCAACATATAAGAATACTCTAACAGGCCCAGTGGCTCATGCCTATAATCCCAGCACTTTGGGAGGCCGAGGAAGGAGGACTGCTTTAGGCCAGGAGTTTGAGATCAGCCTGGGCAACATAGCAAGATCCTGTCTCTATAAAAAATGAAAAAATTAGTTGGGAGTGGTGATGCATGCCTATAGTCCCAGCTACTTGGGATTGGGATTGCTTGGGCCTAAGAAGTTACAGCGAGGTCTGACTGTGCCACTACATTTTAGCCTGGGCAATAGAGTGAGACCCTAATGATACCCTAACAAGTTTCTGAATGTAAGTCTGTGGCATTACCAACCTAGTAATCCTGTTATAAAAGGAAATGAAGCTGCTCTTGGGTCAACAGCTTTGTGCCTCAGTTTTATCATCTGTAAGATGAATGAGTCAGACCAGGTGATCTTCACAGACCCTTGCACAGCTCTAGAATTCTATGATTACATAGCATGACAAGCTCTCTTCCCCAAATCCAAAAGCGCAAGTCTAGCCCCTGTCACTCAGCACTGCCAAGGGCCTGGGGACTAGCCCGCAGGTGGTTGTGTTGGTTAATCTCTCCCAGAAAGGAGTTGAAAAAAATACATTCTATGGCAGTTCTTAACCTGAGGCCCATGGTGAGCGGCAGCAGGTCCAAAACATCCTCTAAAATTGCGTGCAAAAATTTATCTATTGGGGCTTGGCGCCTGTAGCTCAGCGGCTAGGGTGTCAGCCAAATACACCAGAGCTGGCAGGTTCAAATCCAGCCTGGCCTGCCAAACAACAATGACAACTACAACCAAAAAATAGCCGGGCATGTGGCAGGCACCTGTAGTCCCAGCTACTTGGGAGGCTGAGGCAAGAGAATTGCTTGAGCCTAAGAGTTTGAGGTTGCTGTAAGCTGTGACTCCATAGCACTCTACTGAGGGTTACATAGTGAGACTATCTCAAAAACAAAGAAATTGTCTGTTGGGTTAGGTGTGATTTTAAGGGAAGAGGATCCATAGCTTCTGTCATTCCAAAGGGGGAAATGACCTGCCCCATGGGGTCTCTGGGAGGGAACTCAGTGGAAGGTGTGGTGCTCACATTTTTTTTATCTGCCTGCCCCTTCTTCCGTTCCTTGTTTGCCATGACCACCCCAGTACGCAGAGTTTCAAACACAGGGTCATTGCGATTGGCAGTAGCTAGTGGAATGGGAAGAGAAAGAAGACATTACTGGGGAGAGAAAGCAAGCCTTGGAGCAGAGAGAGATACCTGCTAAGGAAGGGAGAGATGAGATTGAGTAGATGGATATCCATGGGGGTGTGTGTATGAGAGAGAGAGGGGGTGGGATGGGGGAAAGACTAGGAAAGTATCAGCTGAGCAATACCTAGGTCACCAATAAAGGGATCTAAAAACACCACTGGTGATATAACATGATGGAGAAAAGTATTTACTAGAACTCCTTCCATACAACTTTATATGTTGGAAAGAATTTTGGTAAGCTGCTTGGTAGGTGGGACATGTGCAGAATCACTTTCTCTAAGCAGTGTGGTCCTGTAACTGCTAGCTTTTGTTCTGCTGAGTGGCATGTGCTAGCTAGAGTGCTGTTGCCAAATAAATGTTGAATAAACTGTCAATGAATATGTTTTTAAGGGATGCCAAATTACAAATGTGCCAGGATGCCCACAGCTCTTGGTCTGGCCCTGAGTCTGGTGTGACTCTGTAACAGGGATGAAGACAGGAGAGAATCCTTGTCTTTGCTTAGAAAGGGTTTTTCATATGAAGAGCTTATATGTGAAGGTCTCAGTTTTGGCTCTACTCTTGTTAACTTCATGTAGCTATAGCTAAATCTAATCACCCCCACTATAAAACAGTAATATTGACTGTGTATCAAAAATGGCTATAAAAATATTAGATCAAGGGAGAATCAAGAAAAATAGAATGTTTCTGCTTCAGAATTTGGCTTCTAAAGGTAGAGGTGGCACGAAACCTATCTCCAGGCTGCCCGTTCCCTCAGGTCCCATAGGGGCACTTACAGAGATCTTTGACACAAGCGTACTGCTGGTTGCTGTACAGTGGGGAGCTATAGGCCCGACGGAAACCAGGGGGCTGCAGGATGGGATGGGAGGAAACATTAGAGGTGGCAAGGTAAGGTCTAGACCCCATCTCTCCCATGAGTGCTCATCCCTTCTCAAAGTAAGAGATGGGCTGAGAAAGAAAACAATAGGGAAATGAATGGGATGTCTGGAGGAGCGACCAGCAGGAGGGTAGCTAGCAACACATCCCCCCTTCTTTCTTGCTCCCCAGACCCTACTCACAATCTTGCCGAAACATCTCTGCATCTCCACATAGGACTGACAATGTTCATGGATGTTGGTTTTGCAGTTCTTACAGCGAAGACCAAATTTGTTGTTGACTTGGGAGAGAACATTCTGGTAAGGTTCTGGATTGCTCTTTCCCTTTGCACCACTGCTGCCACTCTAGCTCTTAGGTTCCCGTTTCTGTCTGGGACCCTACTCCTCCAATCTCTAATAGTATTTATTTTAAGCCAAATCTAGCCACAGCCCAAATACTCTCCTAAAGTCTCTCCCCCACCCACTGCCTTCAACATCATACTCTCTGCTTCCCTTCATGACTCACGAACAATCATCCGGGCACAGACATCACAGAACTTTGGCTTTTTGAAGAAGTGATCTTTGAATTTGTGAGGCTTATCGTTGACAAGCTTAGGAGGTTCTGAAGGTGGTTCCTCTTCCTCTTCTTCTTCCTCCTCCTCTTCCTCATAGATGTAATAGATGGGCCCACCCCCAGCTCCCACTGCCTCCCCATTGGCCTGGGGTTCTGAGGGAATCTCCATCTCCTTCATCCCCGTAGACCCCTTCCTGAAAAACTGCTTCAGTCGTTGCAGCTGAGGGAGGGAATGAAGGAAACCCCGTGTTAAAAGGACTGTCACCCTTTCTAGAGTTGGTTGGGCTAAAGCCAACCAGACACATTTGAGCTTGGAACAAGGAACAGGCTCCAGGATAAGGGGGTATTGAGGGCTGCAGGTTCTGGCTAACATCCTAATAAATGAGTCACACACAAGTGAGATCAATTTTCTTCAGGAGCTGTAATGACTTCCCAGCCCCCCATACCTGGTGATCAGAGGCCCAGACTCACCCCACTTTGCCGAGTCTCTGCTGGGAAGGAGGGCTTAGGAGACTCCAGCACCTCCTTTTCTGTCATCCTGCAAGAGGTTGGACCCCACTATGAAATCTAATCCCTGACTGCCATCCTTCCCTCCCTTATTTCTGTCCCTCACAGTAGGGTTGTCCTTGAAGGGGAGGGTTTGGGAGAAATTTGGTTAAACGGAGATCCTTTGGCAGGAGTTATGAATAGAAAATTAGATGAAGGTCCAGAAAAAAAGCCCAACAGACTAAAGAACTTCCCAGTCAATTCCTCAAACTGATACCCAGCTTTCCACACTGACGACAATCCCAGCTTTACCACCCCAACACAGTGCCCAAGGGTGCATGGTTTAGGTATTTTCCTAGAGGTACTTTCTCCTGGGAACTTGTGGGCAATAGATATGTAACATGCATCTTCCATATCCCCTCTTTTCAAGAAGTTTAATGTGTGTCCCTGTGTATATGCATGGAGGGATGCATTGGAGACATTTGTTCTCCTCTACTTCTTTCTTGATACCAGGGGGCCCCATGTCTAGTTCTGTCCCAGCCTGCCTCAGGCCTCAGCTATTTTAAGTTTTCAGAGTAATATGAGCCCTTCCTTCCCTTACTATTCCATTCTCTTGATCCCACCCCCACCCCATGCTCCAATTCTAATTCATCCTGGAGTAGAATAATTTCACTCTTAAAACCCAAACTACTCACAGATAATGAAAGAAATGGAGACACTGAATAGATTATAAAATTGGGGCAGCTGGGAAGAGCAGGAAATGGAAAGAGGATCAAGAGGCAACTTACATTTGGGATTCCCTAAGTCAGTCCACAGTCTGTGGAAAGAAGTGGGAGGCACTGGGGCCTTGATGGTGGTGCTGGGTAAGGATTGGTCCTCTTCCTTGGGGGCTAACCCCCCCCCCCCAGTAACCTCCGTACTCACACCAGCTACCCAGACGATATTTGTAGACCTCCTAGCCTCTTGCCTTGGTGTCAGAGCTGAAATGACAGGGCTGGAGGAAAGTGGACAGCTGAGCAACACAGCTGACACAGAGAAATTAGACACGGGGAGGTCTGAGGCAGGGCCGGACCCTAACTCCTCCCATCCCCCAGAGCTGCTATTCCCTGATTCTTCACCTTTGGTGAGCAAGTCAGTACTGGCTAAATTCAGGAAAGGAGTTTCTGTTCATGCTGCACACTCATTTGAGAGGCTGACTGAAAGTAAAGATGCATTATTAACTTATTTCCTCATGCTTTCTCTGAAGGTGCAAACATGTGCCCAAATCTACCTTCCCTGGGCATACTGCAGGAACTTATATATCCACAAGGACTGATCTAGCCTTAAAAATTTTTTTGTTTGTTTTTTGAGACAGCGTCTCACTTTGTTGCCTTGGTAGAGTGCCATGGCATTGTACCTCACAGCAACTCAGACTCCTGGGCTCAAGCAGTTCTTTTGCCTCAGCCTCCCAGGTAGCTGGACTACAGGCACCCACCACAACACCTGGCTATTTTTAGAGGTGAGGTCTCACTCTAGCTCAGGCTGGTCTCAAACTCCTGAGGTCAGGTGATCCGCCTGCCTCAGTGTCCCAGAGTACTGAGATTACTGGCATTAGCCACCATGCCTGGCCCTCTCAAATATTTTTTATGGGGGGGAAGACAGAGTCTCACTCTGTTTCTTATACTGGAGTACCACGGTGTCAGCCTAGCTCATAGTAACCTCAAAACTCCAGGGCTCAAGTGACTTGCCTCAGATCCCAAGTAGCTGGGACTACAGGTACCCACTACAAACACTGGCAGTAGAGACTGAGTCTTGCTCTTGTTCAGGCCAATCTTGAACTCCTGAGCTCAAGGGATCCTCCCTGACCTACCGGAGTGCTAGGATTACAAGAGTGAGCCACGGAGCCCAGTCTATCTAGCCTCAAACTTTTAGGCTAAGAAAGGGTTGGGAGCCAGAGAGGAAAGATTAATTCCCAGAGCTTACCTATTAGCCACACTAGATAGCTTTCTTATTCATAGGTAGTTGGAGGGGTACCTTATTATCCTGTAAGGGAGTGAAGATTCTGTAGCATGGCTTTATTCCTCTAAATCCTTTTTTTTTTTTGCAGTTTTTGGCAGGGGCTGGGTTTGAACCCACCACCTCCGGCATATGAGGCTGGCACCTTATTTCTTTGAGCCACAGGCGCCACCCATTCCACTGAGGCAGGGCCAGACCCTAAATCCTGTCCTTACAGTGAAGGGAATTGCCAGGGCTACTAAAAAGAGACAGGGTGGGCCTTCCCTCTAAGGGGCTCTGAGGAGTGGTTGTCTAATGACTGAAAGCTTTAGCTGCCACAAGGGGAATTTTTATCATTTGTACAATGTCCCCTTCCCTATGAGAACTGCAAACTCTTAGATGTAGGAGAGCCAAGCCTCATACTTCAACCCTTTTGATTCCCTGATTCCATCTCCCACCTCTGATGCCCCAGTATATGAACTGATGTCAGAGAAAGATGGCATTCTTATCCCATAGGGATGCAGCCTTCTCCTACTCTTTGGGCTGTGACATGGCTGAAAAAAAGAGATACTTCCACGTCACAGAGTAATTTAGGGTGGTGAGGTAGTGCTGCTTTATCCCTTGCTATCTGGAAGACACGAAGGACTACTTTGGAGGTTGGGTCAGACAAGTTCCTGTAGGAGTATGGTTTAGGGATACAGCTACCCAGACTAAGAGATTGCCAAGACAATGTGCTTTGTCATTCCCATCCACTGCTCTTTTTTCTCTCTTGAAGGGGTGACCTTGAAAAGGGGGTTTTGGATGGCTCTTTATCTATAGGCTCTTTAGTGGCACTATTCTGATAGGCTGCAGAATAACAGGGCTAGCCTTGAGAAGCCCCAGATATAGGGAAAGCTCCATTCTGAAGCAGGGTGAGTTCTGTTTTTCACCTTTCTTCAGCTGCACAGGACAGGGACTGCTGAGCATGCCTGAGTAATATAGCATTTTGTCACTACAAGTTCAATTGATGTAGTTTGTTTGTTTGTTTGTTCGTTTTGGTTTTTGGCCAGGGCTGGGTTTGAACCTGCCACCTCCGGCGTATGGGGCTGGCACCTTACTCCTTTGAGCCACAGGTGCCGCCCGATATAGTTTTTAATGTAAGAAATATCCACTTTTGTTCTTGCCAGGTAGAACCCAATCATCTGACTTCAGGATTAAAGAAAGGCCCAAGTCCTCGATCCCTGAAGGATTTTTCAGATTAGATAGATAGGTATAAGGCCAGCATCTCAATCCAGTTCTGGACCTCATTCATCCAGCTCATCCACAAGGGCCCTGAGTATCATGGAATGAATAGGCTGGAAGGAACCTCAGAGGTCACTTAGTCAGTCTGCATATCTTATTTTACAGACACAGAGGTTCAGAGTAGTGAACAATAGTGGGGGAGCTACAAGAGCCCAAACCAAGGTCCCCTTAGAGACTCAGTCATCTGTCTGAATCACACGTAGGGAGGAAGATGGGATAGAGGGAACTGTGTGAGGAGTAACATGCATATGCTAGAGAAAGCCATCCCAACACAGAACAAACCTTCCACCGGCTAAGGTGCTAAACCTACCCAGGGCCTCCAAATCCCCATGCAAATTAGGGCAGCAACAGAGAAACAGTGACTGATGTCCAGAGACTGATTTTCTTTTATATTTAAAAACAAAACAAGCCTCCCCCCAATTATCCCTCCAAACAAACAAAAAACCAGATTAAATAAAATTTACAGTGAATATACCCAGCAAACATCTTTATGTGCAATTAAATACTGTGTCTGTTACTGCGGCACAAATCTCAGACAAACAATATACAAGTGTTCTGGGGGTGGGGAGTCCCAAGTTTTAACTCTGTGGGGTTTGGGAAGACAAGATAGGGGAAATGAGAGAATGGGGAAATCAATTTTTTCTTAATTCTGTCCATATAAATATATTCATAAAGACCAAAAAGGGAAGGAGGCTTGGGATGTTAAGGAAATAGGAGAATAGGGACATGTAGGCCCATCCCAATTCTACCTGACAAAAAAATAGGAAAGAAATTAATTTTATGGTGGGAGAAGAGATAAAAAAATGATAGAAGAGGATGGGAAGGACAGGGAAGCAGAGGGGGCACAATCAGGGAAACGAGGGGACCTGTGGGGAGCAAGGAGTCCAGTGCCAGTGTTGAGTATTTCCATCTTCATCTGTTTCCATCCCTAATGCTCAGGCTCCAGTTGGGTGTCACTCTCTTTACTTCCTGCCTCTGTCCATGGTCTGTCAGGATCCCTCCTCAACCCCCTCCACCCCTACTGTGCCGGTCCCTTCCCCTCCTCCATTTATTGGGAGCTGGCTCGCTCCAGGATCCTCAGGTCATAGTTCTTTTTGGCCATTCGAAGTTTGAAGCGACTCACAGAGTTGTTGAGGCGAAGAGAGGCATTTTGGGCAGCCAGAGGGCTGGGGAACACAGCCACGATGGTGTACAAGGCAGCGAGGTCCGAGTGGCGGCCGTTCTCGGCAGTCCCACTGTTGTCCCCCCCTCCCCCACCAGGCAGCCCCTGAGCATCTTTGAGCCACTGGATCTTGGCGCCCGACATGGCAAGCTGCGTGAAGAGTTTGTCCGCCTCAGTACGGGTGATGCCCTCAGGGAGATCTGTCACCTCCAGCACCCGCCCCAGGACTGGAAGGGGAGGAGAGAGGACATGGTTGTGAAAGGAGTAGAGGAGGAAGAACCAAACAATGCTCTGGGTTAGAAGTATCCACTGACCAACTCTCATAATGTCCTCAAAAGCTTGGCCTTTCCCACTTAGCCCTTTCTTCCTCTCCCCAAATCAACCCAACTTCCCATTATCCAGACTCTGATGAAGGCAACCAAGAGAAAAAATTGAACCTTTCTCTTCTTTTTAGCCCAGAGATACAGGCAAGAAGGGACTGGGAATCAGAATCTCATGGTTATAATCAGAGGACCTATGCCTCAGTTCTGTTGCAGGGCCACTGCTATGAAGGAAATGTGGCTTTTGCTAATTTTCTTTGGCAAAGTAAGTGGATCTATCTGATATATGTTCCATAGTTCCTTCCTACTCGCAAGATGGCCCAAATAGATTCTTCTTTTTTTTTTTTTTTTTTTGGCCAGGGGCTGGGCTTGAACCCGCCACCTCCAGCATATGGGGCCAGTGCCCTACCACCTTGAGACACAGGCGCCGCCCAGATTCTTCATTCTTATCGCAGGAAGTCATTTCCCTTCCTTCCCTTGTTTAGCACACTGCTCTGAGGAGGGAATGTCCTGAAAGATCTTGTGTGCCCAATATAGAGAGCCTGTAGGAAGAGACTTATTTCCCCATATTCTCTACCAATCTTTTCCTAAATTGGGTCTAGAACTACCAAAGGTTGGCATCCTAGATTAGGGTCAGGACGGCTCACAGACTTTTAATAAGAGGCTTGGTAATTCCCATCATTGTACTATTCCCAATTTTTACCATGATCCTTCTCAGGACATGGGATGGCTTGGTAAGAAGAACTGAGATACTTCACTTCTCCAGTTTTTGCTTACTTTTGAGCACAAAGGGTCCCATTTCCATTCCCCACCCTAAGCTGGCTTTTCCCACTCATCCTAGGGTGATAATGAAGGGCTGGAGGGGAAAATCCCCTCTTGGGGATTCAGCATCCTGTAACTCACCAACATCTGCCGTCCCCAGGTCAGTGGAGGCAGATTTGAGTGCTTGTCTCTTGCCCCGGTTTCCATGCTTCAGTCCACTCTGTCCCTTTAACATTTGAAAGACAAAACTCTCACTCAGGATGAACAACACTGACTGCCTTGCATTCTAGTGGCTGCCTGAGAAATTGAGGAGTAGCACCCAACTCCAAGGATACCATCCCACCAGGCCGTGAGGATGAGAAAGCAAGAGCCCCTCCTCTTTGGCACTGGGGTCAGGTGGGAGGAATGAGAACAGATGTAGGGCAAGGCTCCTTCTGCTTTGTTCATTCTGCACCATCTCCCTTGTGCATCCAGCTAGTTGATATAGGCCGCTCAGAGATAGGAGCCCAGGTAAGAATGGGGATCTGATGGTCCTAAGGGATACCCTTACCTGGTGCACTGTGTAAGTCGACTGGCTGTGGAGCAAGGGAGGGCAGATGGACAGATTGTACTGTAATGGCTGGCCCAAGAGGGAGTAGCGTCCATCACCTAGGGAGTAAGAGCAGATGGTCTTCTGGGAGCTTGAGCTTCATGGTATGACTTATGAGACTTCAGAGGGTTTTGGAGATAGATAGCAACAATGCACACTATTCCTATTTTTCCATGCTGGGAATACCCAGTGACTAAGACTTGTCTCTCTTCCTAAACACTTTGGCTCTAAGCTATCATGAATGGGACTATTAGTTCTCCTCTTAAGGAAGGGTTCTGTCCACTGTAGACAAAAGGCTCTATGGAAATGACTAAGGAAGAAACCTATAGATCCTTATAAACGTCTGTTATGCATTACACAGATTCTCATGACCTCTAAACCCAGGGTTCAAGTCTCCCAGGCAATACAGCATGGTGAAGAAGAGCACAGATGTCTTAGTTTAAAACTGGCTCTGTTACTAGAAATGTGAAGTTGGGTGTTTTTCCATCTTCAGTATTGCCAAAAAGGTTCAATAAACATAAAACATATAAGGCCCCTATAGTAACACCTGGTACATATCAAGCACCCTAAGATTTACCTATTATTGATAAATATTACAGAGCACGATCACTTTTTTAAACCATATTCTTATCTTCTTTCTATACTGCTTATGACAGCTAAGGCAGAAAACAGGATTATGCCCATTTTTTGTGATTAATCTATTTTTAAAATTTTTTTTGAGATACAGTCTTGCTCTGTCACCTTGGGGGGATAGAGTGGTGTCATTATAGCTCATAGCAACCTCAAACTCCTAGGCTCAAGCCATACTCCTGCCTCAGCCTCCAAGTAGCTAGGACTATAGGCACATGCCACCATTCTGGCTAGTATTTCTATTTTCAGTAGAGACAAGGTCTTGCTCTTGGTTTAGGCTGGTCTTATACTTCTGAGCTCAAGCAATTCTCCCATCTTGGACTCCTAGAGTGCTAGGATTTATAGGTGTGAGTCACCATACCTAGCTTGATTTATCGCATTTATAGATCAGAAAACTAAGGCTCTAGTTCTGAGTTTTGTTTTGTTTTTTTGTTTTTTGAGACAGAGTCTCACCATGTCGCCCTAGGTAGAGTGCCATGGCGTCACAGCTCACAGCAACGTCAAACTCTTGGGCTCAAGTGATTCTCTTGCCTCAGCCTCCGAAGTAGCTGGGACTACAGACACCCGCCACAATGCCTGGCTATTTTTTTGTTGTAGTTGTCGTTGTTTGGCAGGCCCGGGCTGGGTTTGAAACCACCAGCTCTGGTGTACAGGGCTGGTGTCTTAGCTGCTAAGCTACAGGCGCCAAGCCATCTAGTTCTTTTTTTTTTTGAGACAGAGCCTCAAGCTGACCCCCTGCGTAGAGTGCTGTGCCATCACAGCTCACAGCAACCTCCAACCCCTGGGCTCAAGCGAGTCTCCTGCCTCAGTCTCCCAAGTAGCTGGGACCACAGGCGCCTGCCACAATGCCTGGCTATTTTTTTTGGTTGCAGCCGTCATTGTTGTTTGGCGGGCCTGGGCTGGATTCGAACCTGCCACCTTAGGTATATGTGGCTGGCACCTTAGCCACTTGAGCTACAGGCGCCAAGCCAAGCCATCTAGTTCTGAGTTTAAGTAACTTGCTTAACATCACAAAGCCAGTCAGTGGAGAAACTGGCACTTGACTCTAAACCCAGTATTTTCTCTTCTAAAACCATGCTGTTTCTGACCTAGCCTCACATGCCCAGCCCTCAAACTCAGTCTTGATGCTAGGTTAAACTCTCTGGTTCATTAGAAAGTCCAGTGAATTTGTTTCTCCAGCCTCTTTCACCTTATTTGGTAGTTAATACCAAATATGTAAAGGAAAGCTGGAGTAAGTTAAGCATGGGCAATAGTGAAGGACAAGTCTCTGTGGCCTAAAGAGGGATGTTAAAGAGTTAGCTCCCAGAATTGGATCAGCCACACTAATTCCCTGCCTGTTGCTACTCTCTCAATCTCTCCAATTGGGAATGAATGTGAAAGGTGAATTCCACAGAAGCCAGGCCTAATTTAACCCCTACCCTGTGCTGGGCCCCCAGGCCGTGGGAACTGTGTGAGGACAGGCAAGGGACTAAGTCCTGTGCAGACGGTGCTGAGGTTGGTGACAGGAGAAGGTGCTGGAGACTGGGTAGGAGATGTGACAGGACTGCTGCTCATCTGTGTGCTGGCCTGTGGAAGAGAGAAGTACATATCACATAAACTCCAAAAGATACTCTCTGGATATTCCTTTGGCTTGGCTTAAAATTCCTCTCTCAGGAAAGAAGTTTTTCTTGCTGACCTCTGGGAAAGTTGAACTGCTTCTTCATACTGCCCCCTTAGTCTTCAATTCATTTGTGTATTTTATTTTTTTGAACCAGGATCTCACTTGTCATCCAGGCTAGAGAGCAGCAGGGTCATCATAGCTCACTGCAACCTCAAACTCCTGGGCTCAAGTGATCCTCTTGCATCAGCCTCCTGAGTAGCTGGGACTCCACGTGGGTACCACCACA